ACCTAATGTAGTAGCCTCACAGTATTTAACAAGACTGCATTCTCTGAAGCGTGCCATTGGGTGACCTTGTAGTTTTGCAAAGCATCACGGAGAATACTTACATAAGCTGAGCCTCCACGTTGTCACCGGCTGACATCCCCTTGTGGAGTCACCGTTCTGAATGTGGCTCATCGTTGACTGAGATATCCTTGTGCGCTGATGTCAGCACTGGCTTTATTTCTACTCATCTTGTAGAATGACTTTGGGATCTAGATCCTCCTTCCTTTTCCCCAATTTGTCATGAGAATAGCTTTCCTAGGTCAGTGAAGATAGTGTATGAGGCAACTTAGGATACCACATAGCTCTGAAATTCTGTGACTTCAAACAGAAAGGGTTTAAAAAAATTTTTTTTGGCACAGGGTTTTGCCATGCAGCTCTGACTTGTAGTGATCCTCCTGTCTCAGCCTCCCCAGCACTGGGATTGCAGGCATTTTCTACCATGCTTGGTTTTGGTGGCTGGCATGGTGCCTGGTACCAGAGGTCCTTGTACTTGCCAGGCAGGCGCTTAGACTGCCAAGCTATCTCCCCAGCCCAGAAAGGCTTTTTGAAAAAAAAGCTGTGAGTAAGGTGCCAGAGAAGGCCAGGTGCTGCTTCGCTACTTCTTGACTCCAGCTCTGCCCTCCTTAGCCTGGTTCCTGTGCTGGTGCCAGCTCCTTGGACCCTCTAAGGGACTTCACACCTAACCTTCACACACTTTCAGATTTGTAACATTGTTTTAGTTCATTTTGTTTGGCCAGGATTTGAGTGTTGCAACAGCAGAGAGTACAGTAATTTCCCCATTGCCTGTTTTTCTCAGATTCTGTGCTCATCTGCTTTTAGGGTGACCAGTCCCCTTGGACCACTTTAGAACCTTTGAGATGCTGGTGTTGACCTGACCTTCACAGCGGACTCATTCTTCAGAAGTGCAAACCAGAGCAGTCATCTTCCCAGAGCCCGGGGATTGTTTAGATGTGTAAAGGGCCAAGAATGCACGTTGAGCCCCGGGTCCTGCATGACTAGCATTTCAACTGGGAAGGGGAATAATCATGAGAGCGAGGGTTTTCTAACATTGATTTTATTCTTATTCTCTTTCTTTATTCTCAACATAAAACAAAAAAGATCTCACCAGGGTCTGGTGAAGAGAGTGTCTCCCTGTTTTCTAACAGATGAATAGAATGGATTGGAATGCTGAGTGTTTGGTTGAAGCCTTTTTTTTTAAATTTTGGAGACTGTTCAAGTTATTGTTCTTTATACAAATTCTTACGTGACATTAAGAATTTCCAATTTGGTTGAGAGATAGAAGAGATATTTTTCCAGTATATTCTGGAAATGAAATTGCTCCACTTCATAGAACATTTTTGAAGTATTCAAATTATGTGTTTGTGTGCTATTGGTTGGTATGACGTGGTGCTTATAGGTTCAGCTCACATCAGATTTTAGTATGCTTCACTCACCAGCTGGTGAAAGCTGCCTATTCCAGTCTCTTGCAAGCTTTCTTTTTAAAATTAAGTGTTTTTTTTTTAAAGGGCACTACCGAGTTACATGACATTACAGTACAAGTTCTCCTATGTCCTGAGTCTTAATTGACCTTGGAAGGCTAGGACCAAAATGTTGGCTTTCCTTGCAACCCTCCTTTTTCTCTAATTTTGGTCTGCAAACTTAGGTTGTTAACCCTCCAGAAGACAAGCTTATTGTTATTACCATACAACCTAGGCTGATAAGCTTAACTTCACTATCTGTCTGAATATCAAACATCTTAGGTGTAACATGGAACAGGTATTTTTCATCAAGTATTGATATGTTGAACTTTAAGTCCCTACAGAATATGATGAAAAAACATTTAAAAATTAGAATATATTTAAAAAAATAGGCATAAAGAATTATATACTTCTTCTGTTTACACATAAGTCCAAAAATCTAACCATATACAACCTTGAAGCAGGACAGTCCCACCATATTCCTTTTCCTGTCTCTTGCCTTCATTCACCACCCCCTTCTTTTTGAACAATCATCTACCCGAGAGACAGCACAGCAGCAACTGGCATGTCATGACAAGCAGCCCATATTCAGAATACCAGAATGACAGGCACTCCAAACATGAAACTACTATTACAGATTACCATCTGCGGTGCAGTTGCTTACTTCACAGGTATCAGTATATATAGTTAGTCAGGGTGAGAATCTTTCCAATTAACTGCTAGATTCAAAAATCTTCTGGAGATTCTCAGGATCATTCCCTTGCCCATCTTCTACATATAACTGTATGGCTTGACATTGTCATGTTTCCTAGCTCTTCTCCTTTCCCTCTCTTGATTAGTTAGTCCTTGAGATCCTGCTTCCCTTTTACTTGTATTATACCTTTCTATTTGTATTTCTTCTTTTGAGTTCTTATACTAGGGAAACTATAAGATATTTACACATGTGTGTCTGGTTTATTTCACTTATGAGTATATGTTCAAGTGGCATCCACTTCAATATAAAGGTGTCGAGTTTATCATTCTTAATGGCTGAATAATACTCCATTGTGTAAAAATACCACATCTTTTTCAACCATTCCTCAAGTGATGGGCATCTTGGTTGTTTCCAAGGTTTGGCTATCACAAATTGTGCTGCTATAAACAGAGGCACACATATATCCCTATGATATGATGTTTTCAGATCCTCTGGGAAAATTCCCAGTAGAGGAATAGCTGGTTGAAAGGGGATTTCCAGACCAACTTTTCTAAGAAGTCTCCACACTGATTTCCATAACGGATGCACCAGTCTACACTCCCACCAGCAGTGGAGAAGGGTTCCTTTTTCCCCACAGCCTCTCCAACATTTGTTGTTGGGTGATTTCTTTATGATAGCGATTCTTTCTGGGGTGAGATGATATGTCAATGTTGTTTTAATTTGCATTTCACGGATGGCTAGTGATGTACTGTCCTACCAATTTGGTTTGAAATTGCCTCATTGCTATTTGTTTCTCAGTAAAATTTAAAAAAAAGGGGGGGACTAGGGAGATAGCTCAGGAGAATAAGTGCTTGCCTGGGAAGCAAAAGGGCCTGAGTTCAATCCCCAGTTCTGGAAAAAAAAAAAAAAAAGGTTGTTTTCTGTTTCATTTTCACAGGTTTTTGAGTATATGTCATTCTTTAGCTACATGGTTTGCAGATATATTCTCCCAGTCTGTAGCTTTTTGTTTTTTGGACAGTGCCTCCGTACTTCATACGCTGAAAGTTTTTGTATTTTGCTGAAATCCAACTTACTGATGTGTCTTCTATAGATAGTACCTAAAAACTCACTGCCTAAACAGAGGTTAGAAAGATTTCCCTGCTAAAAGTGGGGATGTGGTTCAGTGGAAGAGCCTTTGCCTAATGTGTGTAAAGCTCTGAGTTCAATCCCCAGCTGTTCTAGTTTCTTTGTGTTCAGAATGTACTTGTCTAGATGTTGATGGTATTTGTTGTTGTTTGGTTAAGTGCTGGGATTACAGGCACACATCACCACCCAGCATGTTGAAATCTTCTACTTAAATTATTTATTGGAATTATGTGAAGTCTATAGAGTGCAGTTTGGGGAGAATTGATATTTTAACCACATTTAAACTTCTAATCTATGAGAATTTATGTTTCTTAATTACTTTTTGTTTTGTTTTATCTTGAGATGGGGTCTCACTATGTAGTTCAGACTGGCCTTGAACTCACTGTAGCCAGGCTGGCCTCAAACTCATAACAATCCTCCTGCTTCAGCCTCCCAAGGGCTGGGATTACAGGTGTGCGCTACCACGCCCAGTTATTTACATCTTACTTGATTTCTTTCATTAGTATTTTGTAGCTTTAACATATAAATCTGCATGTTTTTCTTATGCAGAGCCGCTCTGAATGATGCTGTCTTACAAATTTCAGTGTTAAATTTTTCATTGTGAGGGCCGTCCAGATAGCTCAGCAAATTAAAGTTCCTGCTTAGGCAGATGCAGGGGCTAGGAGTTCGATCCCCTGGCCTACTGTAGCATGCTGCCCTGCAAGGGGCAATTGAGACTGGGCGTGGTGGCGTGTGCCTGTGATCCCAGCACTTGGGAGGCTGTAAACAGGAGAATCACTATGAATCTGATCTACGCAGAGCTATTGTACAGGCAGAAACCCTGTACATCCTGTACACCCTGTATATCCTGTCCTAAACAAACACAAAAATTCATTGTGAGTCCACAGGAAGACAATTGTTTTTCCATAAACTCACTTAAGATTTTGCGCAGATTTCTTGGATTTTCTTGTACTAAATGGTGTCATCTATGAATAAGGACAATATTATTTCTTCCTTTTCATCCTGTGTGGCTTTGTTCCCTTGCATTGACTTTGCTAACTAAGGCCTCATTCCAGGTTAGACAGGAGTGCTGAGAGGGGGTGTTTTTGCCTGGTTCCTAATTTTTCCAGGAAACAGTTATTCTTTAATTGTTTATTTGATATGAGCTGTGGGTTTTCATAGATGCCCTACATGATCTTAAAGAAATTCCCTTCTACTTCCATTCAGCTAGTTGAGATGTATATTTTTTCTAATTTAAATTTTTTTTAAGGTTTCAGAAATTTGTTGTTGATTCCTTTTTAATTTTTTTTAGGGAAAGGTCTACAGGGTGTTCAGGGTCTCCCTCCTAGATTAGACTTATAGTGAGCTGCCTGTTTGCAGCCTCCCAAGAGCTGGTGTGCCACCACACCCAGTCTCAATTGCCTTCTTAGTGCACCCCGGGGGCAGGACTGGCACAGCAGGCCCAGGAATCAAATCCCTGGCCCCTGTGCCTGCTTGCAGGTGCTTTAATCCACTGAGCTATTTGGCTGACCCTTCATTTACCCTTACCATTCTAGTTTTCTTCTGGCATTATTTCTCTTTCGTGTGTCCCTTAGAGTGGGTTGGTTGGTGATCCATGCTGTCACTTACTTTTCAGAGTCCTTGGGTGACTACACCCTCCCTTATCTCTTGTTATAGGATCCTAAGTCCTTGATGGGGTCATGCTTGGAGGAGAGGGGACAGTAAGCACCTTGGGAAGGGAATCAGACTCCACAAGGATGATCCCCAAAGACCAGGCAAGATGTGGAGGCTGGAGAGAGATCTTCAGTTCACCTCTTATGACCCCATGATGTGGCAAGTGCTGGGAGCAAGAAGGTTAGTGGCTTTTGGTCCACCAGGGATCCTGATTTGGAGCAGGGAGGTTAGCAACCCACAGATTGCTGAGGGAAGCTGAGCTCCTGGCCTTGGGCCAGCAAGTATCCCATGACCACCTTGGCACAGATGTGTTGGGGCTGCCTGAGTTCCAGGTTCGTGGGCAACCTGCTGACTTGACCATCTTTGATCACTGACAAAGTCTGGGTTCTGTTTGGTTTGCGTACCTGTGAGCCATCATATGACACCCGAAACGAAAAGGAAGCCAGGTCAAATGTGGCTCAGGTTTCAGTGGGATTAGTCCATAGTCAGCTGAAGTGGCCTGGTGGAAGAAAGCTGCTCACGGTAGGGTGGCCAGGAAGCAGAGAAAGGAGGCTGGACTCTGGAAGGGGGATGGAGCCCTCAGGCCATGCCCCCAATGACCACCTCCTCAAGTCAGGCCCCACCTCTGAACAGGCAGCTGTGAACTCCTCAGTAGACTGATTGACTGATGCACATAACGCCTCCAAGAGCCAGTTGTTTCCCAAAAGCCCCACCTATAAAGACAAGACTTTTGGGGGACATTTTAGATCTAAACGATAACCGAGTCCTGCTAGACAATATTGGCAGTGTAGGAAGTGGAGAATTAGGGAGGGCTAGTTCCTCCCTTCATATTAGCTTTGCTCTCTGGCTATAGTGAAGGAGAGCCTCAGGATAACTCCTGCCAATGACACAGGCATCGATGAAACAATATTGCGTAGCAGCCAGGGAGCAATGTGTACGTACAGCCTGCTTTATGGCCCAGAGGAGCCCGGGCCATCTTCTCTCACGTGCTGTCACCACCGTCCTGCCTGGAAGCTTCACTGTGGAACTTGTTCTGACATTCCTTTTTTTGGTTTTGGTACTGGGAATCGAACTCAGGACCTCATGCTACTGAGCTAAATCTCTGGCCCCTCTCTTGTCTTTTTGAGACAGGGTCTCACTGTGTAGCCCAGGCTGGCCTTGAACTCTTCAAGATCCTCATGCCTTCCCCAGTGCTGGGATTCCAGGCGGGCACCACCACACCCGGCTTGTTCTAGCCCTCCTGAGGCTGGGTTGTTTTAATGGTCATTAGCAGGCAGCTAGAAATTCTTTACTCAGTAGCTGGACACAGAACACTTAGAGGTCAAGCTGCTGGCCTTGTAGATTCTTATCCTCCAAGGATTATGCGTGGCCATAAGATATACCGGTATTCCTTAGAACTTTCTATTTCACTAGTAAGAGTCCCTTTTTTTTTTTTTTTTTTTATATATCATTTTTATTCTTTTGTTTGATTGTGCTGAGTTGATTTTATTTATTTTTATTTATTTATGTGTGTGTGTGTGTGTGACCAGCTCAGCCCACCAGGGGGTGGGGCTGGCTGGCATGTGGTGCTGAGGGATTGAACCGCGGTCCCTGTGCTTTGCTTAGCTTGTTCTAAGTAGGTGCTTTAGACCGCTGAGCCATCTCACCAGCCCAAGAGTCCCTTTTGAACATTCCTCAACCAGCTGAGAAACTGTGAGTTTCCCCAATAAATACCCATTGCTGACGCTCATGGTGCCATCAGTGTACGATGAGTCTGCAGCTCTCAGCATGGACTTACCATTCGGAGGCCAAACTGGCCACCATCCTGTCCTTTTCTGGGTAACTTGCTGCTTCCATCTGCCTTGTCGCTTAGGCCTACTAGTGCGTGCTTTTGTCTGTGCTGATGTGGTATTTAAAAGTAACCAGTCAGGCAGGTTAGAACATGTCTGTAATCCTGGCTACTCTGGGGCCCAAGACAGGAGAATGGCAAGTTCGAGGCCAGTCTTTGAAACTTAGTGAGACCTTGTCTCAAAATATTAAAAGAGAGGGGGCAGGTTCTGGGAATTTAGCTCAATGCGAGGGCCCTGCACTCAATCAGTGCCCAGGTCTGGGGAAAGAAAAGGAAGCCACAGTGATGAAAACACCACACACAGAACCGGTTGGTGGCAACCACGGAAACCAGATGAGAAGGCCCTCGTCAGGTGCTCTAACCTCTGCATGACCTGCCTTGTGACCTTCAGGATCCCAGTGAGGGAAGCTGACTTCCCCTCCTTCCAGAATCAGGTTTAATTTAATTGGGGAAAAGACCTGGCATATCTCACAAAATCAGGTGTGTAGAATAGTGTGCTAGCACTATTCTGTCCCCACAACTGTGACAGAACATCTGTGATAATCACCATACAAGAAGGGAAGGCTGGCTTCCGCCTCAGCTCCAGAGGCTTCAGTCATGGTCCCTAAGCCTCCACTGCCCCTGGGCCTGGGGCAGACAGAGCACTGTGCAGAGAGATGGTGGAGCAAAGCTGCTCACCTCAGGCCAGCCAGGAAGCAAAGTGAGAAAGAAAGGGCCAGAATCCCATTGTCCCCTTCAACGACATGGCCCCAGTGACCCACTAGACCCACCTTTGGGACCTTTAACACATGGGCCTTGGAAGGACTTGTGTCCAAACTGCAGCAGGTGGACTCTGTTACTCAGCCAGTCGGAGTGTATACCAATAAAGCTATAAAATCACTCAAATGCAAACTGACAGCATCGATTTAATGTAATAGTGTTTTCTGCCAGGGCACGAAGTCCATGGACGGGGCTGGCCATCCCATCTTTGCACCTCTGTTCTCTCAAGACTGTGGCAAGAGCTCCATGAGGTGGCCACAGTGTCACTTGGTGTTCCAAGTGTCTGATCTGTGACACTTCCCATCCCAAATCGTGAAATGCCAACCCTGCCCTGAATTTTTGAGGCAGAATTCAGTTGAAAGGTGACTGCAAATCCAGAAAGAAATCTGCTGTCATAGAAAACTCTGCCCCTGAAGATGTGGGAGACCCAGGCTTGAGGACCCCTCCTTGCCCTGCCTCTGCCCTTTGTTTTGGGAGGGACTTAGCACGGTGCTACCGCAACCAGTGACTTATGTTGCTTGGTCACTGTGGAGTCATTGTGTATGAACCGTGTGCAGCTACAGGTGCCTTTGCCCTCCTGGTACCAGTGGAGTGTAGCTGGGCCGGGACGGAGGCAGCCTGAGAGCCGTGCCTGTCCTGCTTGTCCCAGGTGCCCGTCCTAACTTGGCTGCCTGTCTTCCTGGAATGCATGCACTTCTGAGATCAAGCAAAAGCCCCACTGTCAGCCATATGTGTCCCCACTCCCTGGTGACCAGGACACTGTATTGGCTCTTCTGAACCCATCAGAGTCCTCCTGGATGGCGTGGAATCAAATAACTTTTTAACCAAAAGGGGAATTACAGGTTCTGGAGAGCAAGCAGGTTGGGAGGTACTGGGTGCTGGAGTTTTGGTGACTGACCCCAGAGGCCCCTGTGTGGGAGGCCTAGTCCCAGCCCTTGAAAGGTGCTGGGCTCAGTGGAAGGAGGTGAGATCCCTGCATGCGCTCTCCACCTGAGATACTGTCACACCCCAGCGCCCAAAGCAATGAGATCGAGTAACCCTGGACTACCCCGAACTCTGAGCCCAAGTGACCTGTTTCCTCTTAGTTGATTATCTCAGATATCTCGTCACCACCATGGAATGCCAGCCCACAAGTGCTGATTCATGGAAGTTCTGAGCCACGTGGGGTCACATGGCTGGCAGTGCAGGTGCCTCCGTTAGCCAGGCCTGATGCGAGAGGTGCCTGGGCTGGGTGCAGGGCTTCTGTGGGCTTCAGCCACTCAGAGGAGGCTCCTGGGTGCAGGTCCCTGAGGCTCAGGATCAGCAGCATGCACTGATTGCAGCCTCAATCGCAGGGCTGTGCAGACCACTTGGGACAGGCAGAAGCCTACAGGTAATTGCTAAAAAGCAAAACATATTGCATAAACATGCAAAACCCTGGGGACTATCACAGGGCCTTTAAAGCAGGATAACCTTGCCAGGAGAAGCATAAGCGTGAGCCTGAGTCTTGCCTCTGCGGCCTGGTGCTGGGAAGCAGACAGTTCCTCTCAGGTTAGAGCTCCTTCCTGCTCCTTCCTTTGTTGTGAGTGTGACATGGGGCACAGGCCATCTCTACTTCTACAGCCTTGTGTTTGCAGCTCTGGACAAACACCTGGCTCAGTCAGACAGCTCAGACATTGACACCTCTGCCTGCGGCTTGCACTTGCGGTTCCCTAAACACATTTCTGAAAGAAACCACTGACCCCAGTATCTCCTAGGACAATCTGAGAGTAAGAAAAGAAGGGGACTGTTCTTTGAGGAGAACAATGATTCTGAATGAAGCTCCTTGCTCACTAGAGTCTGTCAAAAAGAAAGAGGCACCAGTGCTGTTTTTACTTGGTCAACTTCTTTAGAAGACTTTTGAAAATCCATATTTATTCTGAGGGGATCAAGTAAATTATTATTAGATTAATGCTCCTTAATTTCTGCTTATTCTCTTGGGGCTGGAGAGATGGCTCAGTGGTCTAAAGCACCTACTTGAAACAAGCTTGGCAAAGCACAGGGACCGCGGTTCGATCCCCCAGCACCACATGCCA